TACAGGGTTTCTTTTAACGGCACAAACCAGCACAAATCGAGCACAAACGAACGCCACCGGTTTGGAGAGATTTGAAAGGCATGAGGTGGAGAGTGACGTCACTGCTCAGAATTGTTTTTGTTATTTCTATGAAGGGGAAATATATTTGATGTTCATTTTAACAGCACAAACCGGCACAAATCGAGCACAAACGAATGACACCAGTTTTGTGCGATTTAGACGAACTGGGGTGGAGAGTGACGTCACAGCTCCCGAAAATATTTTGGTTATATCTAAGGAAGGAAAATAGATGCAGTGTTTGTTTTAAAGGCACAAACGGGCACAAATCGAGCACAAACGAACTGCGCTGGTTTGGAGCGATTTTGGCAACATGGGGTGGAGCGTGACGTCACACGGTCAAAAAAATTATGTTTAATATCTCAAACACCAAACCAGCACAAATGTTCGTTTTCGCGGCACAAATCAACACAAACGTAGCACAAACAAATGGCATAGTTTTGGTGAGTATTTCTTTTTATGGGGTGCCAACTTCACGGAGGTATTCCATACAACTGTTTTTCAAACCATATAATGATAATTTTACTTTCTGCAGAAGCTCTAAAATCTCATTCATAATTATGTTCAGATTCAGAAAAAGTGCCCAGATATGCCACACCAGATCTTTTTAAAGATTTATTTTTGGCGTTTTTGACCTTATTTGATAGGACAGTAGTTAGATAGGAAGCAAAGTTGGAAAGAGAGGGGGGACGAGGGAAAGGTTCGCGAGCTGGGACTCAAACACGGGACGCCCGAAGCACAACGGTGCTACATGTTAACATGCTGCCCACGAGGCTGTCGGCGCTGACTGCCACACCAGATTTGACATTCAAATTGGTCATTGGTCATTCATTCGTTCTCTATTGGTTTTCTCTCCAGACAAAGGTATTGTACATTATGTGGTCATATGAAACACTTTAATGGTGTTTTTGTGTTTTTTGGAGCTTGAGAGATGTGCACGAAAAAGGGCTCTGCAGAAGAAAACAGCAGAGAAGTGGGAAATGAAAGGTAGAGTAGAAATGGAGAGAAAATACCAGAGCAGATTGGCACAGGTGACACAAACCTGTTGTCTGTGAATGTCTTTCTGTAATTACCCATTGTCCAGTGGATATTGAGTGTGTTCATCTGCTGTGTGTTTGAATGACAAGTGCAGACATTTCTCTCTCTCTCTCTCTCTGTCACACACACACACACACATAGTCTGCTGTGTCTCTGCTGCTGAAATTGGACTCTGACTACTGCTCTGTCCTTCAATATGATTGACAAACATTTCTAGAGACATCATCACCAACTAATGCACAGGCTCAACGTTTGACCTGATGACCATCACTCAAACCCTTGCTGTCGAAATAAAGTACATTTACACTGCAGATTTGCAGCAAAGAATCACTCAATATCCGAACAGCTGGTTGAATTCACAAATTGCTGAACTGTAGGCATCAAAAGGGCACAGATTATTTCTCAGGCCTTTTTAAATATTTACAGTGATTAAATTAAAGGTTATGAATTATTGTGTTCGAGTTGAATCCTTCAAGAATGTTTGGAGTTAATAATTGTAAGAATAATGATTGCCTGTGACACGTCTGGCTATGAGAAATCTGCTCATTATCTTTCTTCATAACCCAGAAGCTCATGCAAGCAAGAAAATTTACTCACAAACATAATTTCTGGAACAGCCATTAAGTCATTATATTTCAGTAGTTGCTATTAGTTTTGTTAAATGGATTTATGCTGAAAAAAGGAAAAGTACTGTGATGCAGATAATGGGTAATTGAAAACCGCTTATGCATGTGTGTTCTTGTATATGTGCAAATGCTATTGAGAAGATAAATTATCTTACAGTACTGTGTCAGTACCATGGTACAGTGACATACTGTATACGATTGTAATGCTGTGGCTCATTTGTCAATAACTGACCAATTGGATTCATTTCTTGACCTAGATATGTCCGATCTAGATATGCCAATACCAGTATGCAGAGCTATTGACATTATATTGATACAATACCAATGTATTATACTGTAGCTAATTATTTATTGATGGCAAATGAGGCATACATAAAGTTGCTTAAAAGTTAAATGCACTTAAAACTATTAATCAAAGTACATGAAATAGCCAGATAACAACTGATTTATCAATATGCACCACCGTTCTTTTAATATATTCTAAAATGTAATTTATTCTTCTGATGCAAAGCTGAATTTTCAGCATCATTACTCCAGTCTTCAGTGTGTCATGATCCTTCAGAAATCATTCTAATATGCTGATTTGCTGCTCAAGAAACATTTCTAATTGAAATTGAATACAGTTGTGCTGCTTAATATATTTGATGAATAGCAAGTACTATAAAAGAATTATGAATTTCTTTACTGTCAGTTTTGATCAATTTAAGGCATCCGTTATTAATTTCTTTCATAAACTAATCTTGCTGACACTTGCTGATACTTGATTTTAAACTGTAGTGTAAAATTGGTCTAGCATTAGTATTTACTGTATATTGTACCATGTCAGCTTTTCGGTACGTGTTTGCACATGGCTGTTTTTCTCGTGGGGGTGAACTGTTGGTGAAGGGAGTTTGCCTGGTGTGAGTATGGTCAGTAATGAGAGATGCTGTCATTATGTCAGTGGAAGTTACATGAGCACTGATGTGGTATTGACAGGCGTCAGTTATCACACCTGACCCAATGTGACAGCCATCTCATCTTAACCTGAGAGAGGTGTGTTTGTGTCTATCACACTCATACACACAGTCACCTTGACCAGAAAGAGATGTTTGTTTGACTGTCCATGAGAACTAGGAATAAGATATATTACAATTTTAGTCGTAACTAACGTTAGTCAACAAGCGTTAGAAAATACATGAACATATGATTTTTTTTCTGTCCTGACTGGTTAGCACCACCCTCTAATGTCATGTTCAACTTCAACATAACTTTTACTAAACATAAATTACAGAACTGGACAATTTTGTACCTTTAAGTCACACTGACAAATGTCTGAATGCCATAGCTTTAGATGCCAAGTGGCATCTACAAACAAATCATGCTAAACTTATTGTTAAACAAACCTTACTTTGTCTTTCTTTCAGCTTGAGGTGTCAATATCCTTCAGTGATGAGTATTTACGTTATTGCTCTTTTGTTTATTACTTCACTCCACCTCTGGCACAATTTGGCATAAATGTAATAGTTTTTTCAGCATCGATTACAATCATGGGCCTCTAACCTTTTGTAGAAGGCCGTTTAGCACACATTTGTCTGTGTCCTCTCCTAGCTGTAAAGGGAAACCCTTCCAGAGTAACCAGTGTCATATCGTGTCCGTCGAGCTGTCAGATGTTGTAGTTTTGTATGATAGGATTTGTCGGTCAGTTATATTAAATCTGGTATGTCAGCTTTCATGTCTCAACATGTCAGTTCCAAATATTGCAAGAGCAGACAGACACTAGACAGGCTAATATACTCAGCATCAAACCCCTCATATGGTTATAATCCATTCATGAAGTCAGATGTTCTGACCAGACGTCAGTTGCGCCTTTTGATCCTATTTGTGAATCCTATTTATCTGGGGCCGCATGTCATATCTCTGTCATAGATTATGAAGTAATTGTGCTAGCTCTGTCAGTTAGGTAGTTAGCGCTGTTGACGTGGACTCATTTCCTGTTCCAGTGGTCAAATGAGCAGTTATATTGCTACTTATGCTACTATTTCTAAATGAAGTATTAGTTTTATACATATTAAGTATAACATATTAAGTATTACAAGTGTTTTTGTAAAAGTTTCCACAGAGTGGTTTGTAGCACATTGGTGGGTGGATGTTATGGAGTTCTAGGTGGTTTCTAACAAAAAAGTGCACACCCAAAGCTCTGGATGTGTTCCATTCTGTAGTGGTAATCCCTATACCCTATTCCCTTCAAAGTCTTTACCTTTGAATGTAAGAGTTTCCATGGTTTGAAAGGCATGTCTATCATTAATATTTACCCCTTGTTAGTACCTTGAAAGATATCATTTATACTGTTTAGAACACAGTATTTATGGTACTCTGGTCTCTAGGTATGATTATAATAACAATAATAATAATTCATTACATTTATATAGCGCTTTTCTAGGCACTCGAAGCTCTTTACATTGTCAGGGGGTATCTCCTGATTGTAGTTCAGGACTGTCCAATCCTGCCCCTGAAGGTCCAACGTCCTGGAGAGTTTAGCTCCAACTCTAATAGATATGCCTCAACCAGCTAATCAAGGTCTTCAGTATTACTCAAAATTTCCAGGCAGGTTTATTGGAAAAGCTTGGATGAAGACTCTGAAAGGTGGCCCCCCAGAAAGCTTAACCAGCTAATCAAGGTCTTCAGGGTAACTTGAAACTTCAAGGCAGATTTATTGGTGAAGGTTGTATCTAAAAGAATGGGCACCCTGATCTTTCACCTTCAGTGTAAGTCTCTGGGATTTTTCCCACTCTGATGCCTCAACCAGCTAATCAAGGTCTTCAGTATTACTCAAAATTTCCAGGCAGGTTTATTGGAAAAGCTTGGATGAAGACTCTGAAAGGTGGCCCCCCAGAAAGCTTAACCAGCTAATCAAGGTCTTCAGGGTAACTTGAAACTTCAAGGCAAATTTATTGGTGAAGGTTGTATCTAAAAGAATGGGCACCCTGATCTTTCACCTTCAGTGTAAGTCTCTGGGATTTTTCCCACTCTGTTTTAGTGAACAGCTGGTGAGATTGTAAGACAAATATAAGCAGTAACAAAAGTCATGCATGAAAGTCAAATACTTTGTTCACATCCTAGTCAGCAGCTTCTACTATTGCAAGAAACTAGCTGATATGTCTTGTATTCTAGTTCACTTTCTTTTCTTCTCCTCCCCATCCTCTTCATATTTTTCACATTGACATTCTTCATTATTTGAAATTAATGAGTAATCTTTTGATCTAATTACATAGTCAGTAAATGGTTCATTGTCTTTTCCAGGTGCAGGAGTGGTTGTGTCTGAACTGTCAAATGCAGAGGGCATTGGGGATGGATATGGAGACACCACGGTCGAAAAGCCAACAGCAGATCCACTCACCATCTCAGCCCAGCAAACCTCCTCCCCAGACTGTATCCCAACCCACACCGCCCCCACAGATCCAGCCCCAACCCACACTGCCCCCACAGATCCAGCCCCAACCTCAACCCCAACCTCAGTCCCAGCCTCCCCCAGAAGCTAAGAAGCTGACCGTCCCGCAAGCTGCCCCTCAAAGCAAACCCCCAGCTCCAGGTGCTATTCCTCTTCCAGGCATGGCCAAAGCCCCATCCCAGCCTGACCTATCCCGCTCGGGCCCCGGATTCCAGTCTCAAGCACCGCGACAAGACCAGACTCGCAGCGCCGGAAGTTCCCCATCCCGTCAACCTCCTCCGCCAGAACAGCCCTTCGGAAAACTCTTCGGTTTCGGCGCTTCTCTCTTGAACCAGGCCAGCAGTTTGATGTCTGTGGATCCGGTGCAAACTGCACCACCGGCCCAACCACCTTCCTCCCCCAAGCCCCCGCAGAAAATCTTGAACCAGGCCAGCAGTTTGATGTCTGTGGATCCGGTGCAAAGTGCACCACCGGCCCAACCACCTTCCTCCCCCAAGCCCCCGCAGAAACAGCCGGGACTCCCTGGACCTGGTCCGGGTCCTGCAGCGGGTGCTAAACCCGCAGCCCAGCCAGGTCCACCCCGGCAGGAAGTTTCTTCAAAGCCCAAAGTGTTCTGTCCACTGTGTAAGACTGAGCTAAACATTGGAGATCCAGCCAAGAGCCCGAACTACAACCTCTGCACCGAGTGCCACACCCAAGTCTGCAACATGTGCGGATTCAATCCCACACCTCACCTGACCGTGGTAAGATAAGACTTTTATCTGGATGATTGTGCATTTTTGGAAAGTCTCAACTTTTGAGGTCCTTAGTATCGAATCTTTGATGGCATTGTTGCAGCAGCTCAAAGTCTCATTGTTTTCTCTAGAATTATTCTTTGACAGGTTTTCCAGAATTGTTCTTTGGTAGGTTTTCATCTGAGACTAGTTGCCTTTCAGCGTCATTAAAGGATTAGTTCACTTCCAGAAAAAAAAATCTTGATAATTTACTCACCCCCTTGTCATCCAAGATGTTCATGTCTTTTGTCTTCAGTCATCAAGTAATTAAAAAAATATATTTTTTTAGGAAATCATTCAAGGATCTTTCCCCATATAGTGAACATTAATGGCGGCCAACGGGTTGAAGGTCCAAATTGCCGTTTCAATGCAGCTTCAAAGGGGAGGCGAGGAATAAGGATCTTATCTATAAAAAAATCAGGCATTGAGTCCTTTGAAGCGGCATTGAAACTGCAATTTGGACCTTCCTCAAAAACCTGAATTTCTTTTCGACTGAAGAAAGAAAGACATTAACATCTTGGATGACATGGAAGTGAGTATATTTTCAGGAAATTTTTATTCTGGAAGTCCACAGCAACACACTCCTACTATGACCAAAGTGTCTTTAAGACAAGTCATGTCACTCGGCGGCCATCTTTGAAACACCTCTCGGGCATGCAAGTGTAACTCCTATCTCTTTGAATGGGGAAACATCACATTTTTAAAAACTATTCACTAAGCTTTTGATTAAATTTCATATTTGAAATCACCATAGAAATCTGACAACAACTGTGTCATAAATGTTGTTTCTTTTGCTCAAATAGCGTTATAAAAAGCTTATTTTTCAGGCTAGATCAGTATGCACAGTTGTAAGCGCATGTCTCAGAGCGCTGACTGTTTCTATAGCAACCGGGACTTCTAACGGCTGCTGCAGTGACGTGCTGACTTTATCGATTAGTGATTGGCTCTTTTACTCAGAAGGTGGGGCTTCCTGCGATTGAGCAGCCATATTGACCGTTGCATTTTTCCGCATTCAAAACTATTCGAGTCGAGTGACACATCTTGGGTATTCTATAGTCTTTGCTATTACCAACCAAGCTAATTCTTACGTTAGGTTAAATTTCATTGGGTATGTTTTTTTTTTGTCATGTTCAATGGTTCTGGAAAAGTGTATAGGTCAGCATTGTTGTGGTGCTATTGTTGTCAGACTAGTCTTTAGTTCCTGCTGCTGTACCAGGTTTCTCTTGTACGAATCGATTTACAGATACAATGTTGGCCAAGGGTTAGTTTGAGAAATGATATGCAGGCATACTATGATACAGTTCTCAGGTTTCAAAATCATTGATCACATAATATGATATTGTACATAAGATGGTAATATGCTACTTAAAGGGGGCAGATTATCTGTAACATTGTATATTGATTGTATTACAAATAAGGTCTATACAGTATATGATATTTTAAAAATAGTTTTCAGACACAGTAGTTTGCATCAGTGTGGCTCAATTATTAGAACTATTTCCTAATATTTCATTAAAATGTCACTAAGACATTATATTCAAACTGATATTCTCAGCCACAATGTTTTTTGAATGAGAACCTCTTACTGTGACCTGTTCACTTAAATGTGTTATGTCAGTTCAGAACAGCCTCTTCATAGAAATGTGTTCTTGGGAAAAGTGAGCTTTTGTGCAACAAAATATAGTGAGATTCAGAAACAAGAAGCTTCCAAAGGACTGTTTAAGTGAGTCGATAGACTTGTTTGATCTTTCTGGGTCAAATAGAGATCAATAGATTATCACGCATGACATTTTGCATTTGAAAGCAAGGGGAGATTGTGGTCACAGTATGTGATTATTCATATTTCAAGGGTTTCTGATTGCATTATATGCAAAGTATTTTTTTATCCTAAATAATTTATAAGCTTATATTTTTGACTTGTGTTTTTCCTGAAAGTTGTGCAGCTCTGAAAAATTGAAAGCATATATTTGGCTGCATTTTCAAATAGCTTATTGATATCTTTATGTGAATATGCATCATATTGAGAGAGACTTTCCAGACCCTCAACTGTTTTATAAGCTTTCAGTCTGTGAAGAGTGACCTTCGTCTAAGCATTTCCGAAAACTCTGTATTGTATTACCTGTCCTGATATCTTTGAAGTTGTTCACCACTATCAAGCTAAAATCCATCAAATGGCTCGCTGCCCCTCAGGTTAACAGAGCGTTAGTGGACAGACGGTTTCATTTCCTTCCAATAAAGTAACGATCCTCATGCAAATTATTCTCATGGATCGCTTTTAGGCTACTTAATTCAGAGGCCAGCTAAGTTGACCCTGCCCTGTTAGCTGTCCTGGAAAGTTCTGTCATGACAGAAAGAAAAGCTGGGAGAGTTTTTCACCAAGACAGCATAGGGATAAATATGCAAATCAGGCCTGATTGAATGATGGCAGTAATAACAAGCTTTCAGGGAAGTATTGCATTGTTTTATGAGCTCACTCAGTCTTTACATAGACACATCGTTGTGAAAGCGAAACTACTTTGTTTGGCCTTCCAAAAGAGGACACGACTAGAAATCAGTGGTTAAGTTGTATTTACAACACTGTTCCAGAACACTTTAACCCAAATATTCAGATGTGTGCAGCGCATTTTATGGAGGACTGTTTCCTGATCCTGGTAGAGTAGACTACAATGCCGGCTGTTCTGACTCACAGACTGTAAGTACGTTTTCATTTAAAGGATTTGCCACTGACGCTTCAAACGCGAGTTTTGAGCAGTGTAGAGTAGCGCTTGTTGTTTGTCATTCCTCCGATCACAAATGCACACATGGTTTTATGTTTACGCGGCGTGATGCAACGCAACGCGTAAAAAGACAGTATAAGTCATTATAATCCGTAATTATGTCCCCACTGGATGCAACAAATGCCTCGTTTATAATGGGTTTTAATGTTTTTGTCTCGTCGCTCCAGGGTTCTGACGATTTGTGCTACCCTGTCAGATTTTGCTACCTCCCATTAAAACATATGGTAGCATAATTCGATAGCGAAAAGTGCTACCTATCAGATTTTGGTTCCAGCATGATATTAATAAGGTGTGAGGCTTTATTAACATGTACACCTACCCCAACCTACCCTTACAGTAGGATAAATACAGTGTTGATAGCATAGTCTGATAGGTAGCATTATTTGTCAGAACACCGGCTCGGACATGCCATCACAGTATAGTAAGGGGCATAACATTACTGTAAATAATATAACTGATGGTTATGCATCTTTTCTTTTTTGTCGTTATGTAATATAATATGTTCTTGTACATGCTAAATTTGTTAAAAGCATTTAAAAAATATTTAAATTCTTTAATGATCATATCTCTTTATGCAAAATTTTCTTTCTTTCTTTTTTTTTGAGGTGAAATGTTTTTGTGACCCACAAGCTTTGAAAAATTTGCATAATTTTTCCTTTCTGTATTTCTTAGAAAAAGAATGTATATCTTTCTATAGCATACTGTAAATAATATAACTGATGGTTATGCATCTTTTCTTTTTTGTTGTTATGTAATATAATATGTTCTTGTACATGCTAAATTTGTTAAAAGCATTTTAAAAATATTTAAATTCTTTAATGATCATATCTCTTTATGCAAAATTTTCTTTCTTTCTTTTTTTTTGAGGTGAAATGTTTTTGTGACCCACAAGCTTTGAAAAATTTGCATAATTTTTCCTTTCTGTATTTCTTAGAAAAAAAGACATCGGAAATTCAAATGCAAAAGGAATTGCGATTCCATTTGAGTTTTGGCAGGTTACATGCGCGACGCAGCGAGAGTGAAAAAGCAGACTGGTAATTAATATTGCTATTTAAATATGATAGGCTCGTAACTCCTAAGACATGGGAAATACAATTGCAAATGGACTTTGCTTTTTCATTTGAAATTTGGCCGTCGCTGTGCGTTCGCGAAAGCGAAAATGCAAACGCTAATGCAGGATTTGCAATTGCATTTGGATTATGTCACAATTTATGCGTCCACATATTGAAAACGCAATTGAAAATACAATTTGCTATTCTATTTGAAAATTGTCCGGAATATCGTTCCATAATAAAGGGGGGAGGAAAGTGAAGTTCATGTCTTTTTGGGATGATGTTAGGATTTATTTCACACTGTGCTCATTGCTTGAAGTGGAAACCCAGTCAACAAAAATATGTTCGAAGAAGGTGTTTCTAAAGTTATGAAAACATTATATCTGAATGTTCTCTGAGCATTCAAAATGTCCAGTTGTTTACATTACATTTGAAAGTTCTCTAAACATTCTAAACAAATAGTAACATTTAAATGGACATCTAACTAAAATGCTTCCAAATGAATACTTTTGTGCTAACATCTTGAGAACATTATTAAAGACCAGATAAATCAAATTCTAGCACATAAATGTTGATGTTAATTCATATAAAGCTACAACTCTTTCTCTTTGTAAATTTTCAAGAAGCTTTTGAAAGGTTTGGATTTAGATCTTGGTATTAAATTGAGTGGCTGCGCTAGTACATGCTGTGTTTGTTAGTATGTAAACACAGTCAGAGCTTTACAATCAGGCTTTGTTTGAAGTCTTTATTTAGAGAGATGTATCTTATATAAACACGTCCAAGTCATATTTCGTCCTCCAAATCAGAAGAAAAAAATAAATAAACTCTGTGATGCACAGTAAAATTACTTTACAATTTAATGGCCCGGTTTCACAAACGGGGCTTAGCTTAAGCCAGGACTAAGCCTTAGTTAAATTAAGATATTTAAGCAACTTTTACAAAAATGCCTTAGAAGAAGACATTACAGGTGTGCATCTTGACACAGAACAATGACACTGACATATTTTAAGATATGTCAGAGCAAGATATTTTCAGTTGAGACAGCTCAAACATGCACTTTAGTCTAGGACTAGCTTAAGCCTTGTCTGTGAAACATTGTATTTTTTTTGCATTGTATTATTAAGAACTCAGGTGGAAAATG